TTTTTATTGGTTGTTAAATGAAAAATTAAAATTTATAAACAATTTTTTAGTCTATTAGAAAATAATTGTATATATACATTTTTTAATTAATGTTTTTCAAACATATATATTTATATATGTTTGATACAGAATAATATATATATACAGTATATGTTTTTATTAAAAAATAAATAGATTAACAAACTTATAAAACATTATTTTAAATTAAATAATTAATTACAAAAAATTAATAATTTTTATAAAAATAAATAAATAAATTATGTCTATGTGTTTAATTATGTGTGTCTAATGTGTTCATTAATAATAATAATAATTTTTATATAGTTAATTAATTACTATATTAATTATTAAGTAATATAATTAATAATTTATTAATTATCATATATCCTGCCAACAACTCCAAACATTTTTAAAATATTTAGGATTACTGTTGTCATCAGTGGGTCCGACAGTCAATGGAGGAACAGTAGTCCTATTGTAACTCTTAAGTCTATTCCATAGAAAGTTGACAACATTTGGACTATCCTGAGCCCGGTTACTATACTCGCACGGATCGTCCAGTATGTTATACAAACATAGATCGCCCGGTCGACAATTGGTTAGGGCATCGGACGGTTTTCGGCCACACCTGATGGTCGACTGTTTCAATACTGAATAGTTTGGTTGTCTATTCAATTGTCGCAGTACTCGATATGAGCTACTATTCAGACGATCCGTATATTTCAATAGTTGACTAGAGGTTTGATTTGTTATATTGACCGGCGGTACGTACCAGTTGTTACCGACTAACTGGTGTTCGTAAATTAGTTTCCAATTTTGCCATATAATAGCTGATTGATTAAGAAACGGATCGATGTTCAGTAGGAGTTCCTGGCGTTTGGGAGTCGATAACCTATTTGTCATTGCTTTCCATTGAGATATACCTGTATGTGTATGTGTATGTGTATGTGTATGTGTATGTGTATGTGTATGTGTATGTGTATGTGTATGTGTATGTGTATGTGTATGTGTATGTGTATGTGTATGTGTATGTGTATGTGTATGTGTATGTGTATGTGTATGTGTATGTGTATGTGTATGTGTATGTGTATGTGTATGTGTATGTGTATGTGTATGTGTATGTGTATGTGTATGTGTATGTGTATGTGTATGTGTATGTGTATGTGTATGTGTATGTGTATGTGTATGTGTATGTGTATGTGTATGTGTATGTGTATGTGTATGTGTATGTGTATGTGTATGTGTATGTGTATGTGTATGTGTATGTGTATGTGTATGTGTATGTGTATGTGTATGTGTATGTGTATGTGTATGTGTATGTGTGAATGTGTGTGTGTATGTGTGCGTATGTGTGTGAATGTGTGTGTATTGTCAAATGATATACAAAGTTTTTATTATTTGGGTGTTATATTTAAATTAAATAATTGTAATTTTTTTATGTATATCTATTAATAGTATGCATACCATATATATTTGGCTGTCCCCGGATACTGGTTCCCATAGCTTCCAACACTGTCGGCAATATGTCGCTAACGTGAAACAGTCCGTCAAAAACATAGCCACTGTTTTTCAATAGCGGACTCCATATAAATGCTGGCCCTCTTATGCCTAAATTGATAAAAAAAATTATTTAATTAAAAAAAATATTCAACATTTTTTTAATAACAACAAAATAACACATTTATTAATTTTTTTTTTTAAAAACAATAAATATTAAATCCAAAATAAAAATGCTTGAACTTATTATTATTAAAAAAAACTTTTTTTAAAAAAAATGCACTTAAAAACTGAAAATTATTTATTAACCAAATGTGTAACAATTTTTTTGTTGTTTTATAATTAGTTGTAACCAATAAATTCATAATTTATAATACTATAATAATATATAAATATTTTTTTTTTAATTACAAAATTAATTGATTTCTATACCTCCTTCCCATATATGCTCTTTACCACTACGTAATGGTGTATTATAAGCTGCATTATCTATATATAAATATATATATAAAATAATAAATATATTTTTGATCAAAAATTATATATATATATAAAAATAAATAATTTAAAAAAACAATTATAATTAATGTAATAATAATTGATTGATTGATTGATTGTCTTATCTAACCGTTTGTCATTCCTATAGGTCGGCCGCCATTATCGGTAACAAACAAAACTATTGTGTTGTCTAACATCCCTCGAGAGTTTAACTTATCGACAATAGTACCAATCGATTCGTCCATAGCGTAGGCCATACCAGCCAACATACGGCGCTTATCGTTATCAATATTACTAACCAAATCGTTGTAGTATTTAGGCACCGGTACGTCATTGCTTTTTTCGTCCTGATGGACAGCCTGATGGGACATATAGATGAACAATGGTTGTCGGGTATCGTGTTTGTCAATAATTTCCGCACACCTGCGCTGATATATTGTTGTCGTATATTCGCCATTGAGATCGTCGACGGGATCCATATTATGGCGAAAGTCTAGTCCGCATACGTCAAAACTGCCGCACACACCGTACGGACCGTCCGGACAATCGGACAGACATCTTGTGTGGTTATAGTAGTCGACAGCACTGTTCCATATACCCAGGTGTGAGTCAAAGCCCCGGTAGGTCGGTGTGTATTCATGCTTATAGAAACCCATTGTCCACACGCCTAGGATTATGTAGTAGTAGTAGTAGTAGTAGTAATAGTTTTAGTATTAGTTGTAGTAGTATTAGTAGTAGTAGTAGTAGTTGTAGTAGTAGTAATAATAATAATAATAATAGTAATAATAGTAATAATAATAATAATAATAATAATTATTATTATTATAATAATCAAATAATAATTTTATAACCGGTAATAACCAATTATATTTTTTCTATATTATAATAGAATATATATTATATATATATATAAACCTTGTTTCATAATTATTGAAACAAAATTTACTTAACTAAACTAAAACTACAATTTACTATAGCATTGCTATATTTTTTTAATAATTAAGTTTTTCATTTTATTTTTCTCATTACCGACAATATGTGTACTATAGTTGTATGGTTTAAGATATTCGGGAAATATTCGGACATTCAATGGCAAACCGTTTGGCTGATTGGGTTCAATGGTTGCCGATTGAAAACCTATACGATAGGGATGTACGGCAGTCAACAGTGCCGACTTAGTCGGTACACCCAAATGTAGCGAATAGTATCGGTCCAAAACAATACCGTCGGCGGCCAGTGTGTCGATATTGGGTGTCCGCATGTGATCGGAATGATAGCCAACATCAGCCCAACCCATACTATCGGCGGTTATTAGTATAATGTTTGGCAATTGTTTGCCCGACGACTGGTGATGACTACTACTACTGCATAGTGTTTGGCAAACAATTAGACTAATAATAGGAATAATAATTAATTGAAATACAATTTTTTCAAACATTTTTTTTTCGTCAAACAATTTATTTAATGTTTTTTTTTTGTTGTTAAATATCTATTGTCTTTATATACTGTATATACAGTATATGTATACTGTATACAGGTATCTGTTATTATAATTTAATATATTTATATATAAAAAAAATATTTTTAGAAAAAAAATCAATGATTTAACAATTTTAATCTATTATTTATCTATTTAAAAAAAGACAAAATCATTTATATTACAATAAACTTTTAAATTATTCAGTATTTTACTTATTTATATTTTTTTATGTGTCTGTAAAACTCATCATTAATAACGTAATAAAAAAAATATTTATTTGAATTTAATTTCAATAATTTTGTTGTTGTTGCTGTATAATTTTTTTTTTTAAAAAATCAAAAATATATAAATTTTTGATTTTTTAAAAAAATGTAATAAATGTATAAAAAAATATATAGACTATATTATTTTATAACCTGTATAATGTATATTATTTTTAAAATAAAATTATAAATTATTTCAATTCAATGCAAACTCATTTGTAAACAATAAATTATCAATTTCAATTTTATTTTATAGGAATATTTAATATTTGTTTTAATGTAATAAAATAATATTATAAAAATTATAATTGAAAAAAAGTTAGATAATTTAATTCAAAAATATCAATTTAATTTAACTATACTTTAATGTAAGTTTACAATTTTATTATTTAAAAAATTTATTAATTAAAAATAAACAAGATATTTAAAATCTATTTTTTGGTTACAAATTTGCAGTGCACCGGGTTTTAGGACTCTCGCAGTTCCGTATAATCGGCGCAATGCCTTCCTCTAGAAGTACCACCAAACGTGTAGAAGTTGACCTTCGGGTATACTCGGGACGCATCCAACCCTTATGCCTCAAATCTCACGGGAACTCTGACTTCTAAAGGGAACAATATCTGGTATATACGCATATATACCAAGGGCTGAGATCTTTAGGACAGTATGTCCAGGACTTGGATCCAATGGTTAGATATTCAGACAGTGTGTTGCAGACACTTAGCAATGAAATGTCCACAGGTTTATAGTAAACATTTATTGGTAATAATTATAGATACATAACTTGTATTAGACTATATTAAGTTTAGTAAATTATATTATTATAATAAAAACTATGGTTAAAACATTACTAGAGGACAGGTATAGATCTATTGGCACTCAGGCCTACCCTGGAGTATGTGTAGGACTATTCGGTAGTCACTTAACTATACAACCGATCGTAAGGCTGTACATCACACAACTAACTGGTCTATAGTAGACAAGTGTACCAATAGTACTATGTATGACCTCTAGGACTAAAAAGGTTATACAAAATGTATGGAAATATACTAATAATTAGCAATTATAATAAGTAATGATAATTAGTATAATATTACTCGCATTGAGCACTAAAAGTATTACATTATAATAATGATATGAATGGGGAAAATCCTTAAAATACTAATGCAATTGAGGGCTGCATTACAAATTTTATTTTGTTTAATTTAATAAACTAATTATTAATTTGTTTTTTTATTACTATCATTATTATGTTTATTGTTTTATTTTATTGATATTGAATTATATTAAATTTAATAACTTATAAAACTTATAAAAAAGTATAATTTATTAATTTATATAATTTTTTAGTCATTACTGTTTAATTGAGAAAATAATAAAATAATTTATTATTAAATTAAATCTAATTATATATATATATATTTTTTTTGTTTCAATTATCATTTATAAAAACTTATTATTCATACTTTTAAAATAAATATTATTTAATAAATGTTTAAAAGTAATTTAATGCAATATCAACTATTTTTATATATACTGTATTATATAATATAATTTTAGTTATTAAATAGTTATCTTAAAGTAAAAATATTTAAGATATTAGAAAAATAATTATAACTGTTAACTAACTAATTGTTATTATATTTAAATAACTTCAACATTTCATTGTTTTTAAAATTATATATATAAAAAATATTTTTAATTAGCTTAAAATATCAATAATAATATTGCATTATTTTAATAAATAACTTATTTAACTTAAATAATAAAAAAACAATTAGTAAATATATTTTTTATTATTTCAAATAGATTTTAATATTTATTAAAATTTTTAGTTTTGTTTAACAAAACTTCAATGTGTATCAAAAATATATATAAATTTATAATTTTTGTTAATATGATATATTATATGATATATAGATTAATACAAATAGCAAAAAAAACTAATAATAAAAATAACAGTTTTTATGAGATTTTTTTTAAAGGACTACAATGTAATTACCGGTTAAAACATTATTATTATTATTAAATTCATTAGAAAATCATATTAATATCATTTTCATCGACACAACCGATATATTTGCAAAATTCGGGAAAATTTGCGGCAAAAAACAATTTTCTCAAACCGGGAACCAACAGATTCATCACTGGTTGTTGTTGTTGTTGTTGTTGCTGTCCATTAGGATAGAGAAGCATATAATAGTTATCAACATCTGGTATATGCCAATCGCCGGTATGATAGATGAACTCCTGTTTCGGTTGTTCTATAGATTTAGCAATCATTGCCTTCAATGACTGGACAGTTAGACTTTCCTCATGTAGACTGAAAATATCTAAACGATACAATTTTTGGCAACCCTTGATCAGTGATAGCATACCAGTATCAGTGATACCTAGAAATTTGGCACCCAATTTGATTTGACTAAGCTCTAGTATGCGTAGCTCAGGTAGTTTACTGATTGCTATTAGCGATTCATCTGTTAGCTGTTCGTTGGTACCGATTTTCAATTGTCTTAGATTAGGCACTACTGACCCAATGTTTGCGAGTGAGACATCACTGATGCCAATCGATTTGATTGACAATCGTTTCAAATGCCAGCCCGTATTGCTTAGATAGTCGAGCACTGGTATGTCCCGGTGCTGTTCATTCAATTGGTTTCGTCTATAGTGGGTATCCATACAGAATGTGAACCGTTCTAAGCGATGAAATTTTTTCAACGATTTCAATAGTTGGCCCAAATTGAGAATCGATTCGTAGCGTATGGTCAGTGACATATCCCTGAGTTCCGAACATTGTTGGCCAATTGATTTCAAATGTTGAGCAAAATCGCCGCCAACACCAATATCGCCGCTATAATCAATGGCCAGTAGACTCAGTTTCAGCAACTGTACGATACTGGTGACCAGCAGTGCCAAACTGGCCAATTCGGTATCGATGTTGATCTTCAATGATTCCAAATTAGGACATCTCTGAGGCAATTGATCCATCAGTGATAGGTCGTCAAAATCGGTAAACAATTTCTTGATTTCGATTAGTTGAGAACCGGGTGTTTTCGTGTCCATCAAATCATCGTCGACGGCGACAATCAAATCGCGTAGTCGAATATTTTTGACCCGACACAAATTCGGACAGTAGCGTAGTAACGGTAGTAGCGACGGCCGCTGATAATGTGGACATTGAAACACCAGATTCTGGATACCTGTACCAAAATGTTGGCCAAATGCCGCTAACAACTGGCCATTAAGTCGTTCGACATTCAATTTGACAGTAGTCAACGATTGCGGCGGATAGTTGCCGATAATAGTGTCCACTACTTGCCGATCGTGGCCAGTCTTACGCGATGCTATCGCCAGTTCCTTCAAGCGGGTCATCCGTTGCAAAACAAACTCTAGGCGTTCGGCCGATACGTCCCATTCGTATCGGAAACACGATTCGGGCGAGTTTTTGGCCAATTTTTCAAGATTATAGCGTCGATCTGTGTCCAGTTTGACGGTCAGCCTGTCCTGTCGGAGCCATAGATCCTGAAGACAACGTCTGAATTGTCGGCAAACTCCGACCAATCCTAACATATCGTCGACTGGTAAGTGTTGCAGTATTTCGCGGGTCATATCATCGTTGAAATGGTCAGTCCATTGGCATTGATTGTTATCGTCCACCACGTTGTTGTTGTCCTCATCGGTGGTGACGGCAGCGGCGGCGGAAATCACAGCACCCGTACTATTATAGCAACTACCGGTGCTTTCATTGACAGTATTGTTGTTTTTGTCCTCATCGGTGGTGGCAATCACAGCACCCGTACTATTATCGCAACTACCCGTGCTTTCATTGGCCGTATTGTTGTTGTTGTCCTCATCGGTGGTGACGGCAGCGGCGGCAATCACACCACCCGTACTACTATCGCAGCTACCGGTGCTTTGATTGGCAGTATTGTTGTTGTTGTCACCATCTATTAGATCCATTTCCTTCGCGATAGTCATTCAAAAAAACAAAAAAAACTTTTTGTTGTTATTATTAAATGACTTAATATTTGTGATATAAAAAAATAATATATTATTAATATTATTAGTATTTTTTTATTATTAATTGTTTGATTAACTTATGAAATGATTGACTAATTGATTGATTGATTGATTGATTGATTGATAACTAACTAACAAATTAATTAAATAATAATAATTAAAACGAAAAATAAATGTAAATATGATATTCAAAAAAAAAAATAAATAAATAAATTAAAATAAATAATAAATTTAAACATAAAATACGTCAATACATCAAACATAAAATAATAATTGTGTCTACAATAACTGTTTAATAACTGTACTCCTATTGATACTCAATACAAGCATAACTATTTAGTGACTAAAAAATATTATTTGTAGAAACAATAATAATAAAACTGTTGTAAACATAAACAATAATAAGTTTATTATTACTGTATTATTATTATTGGTTAAGAAAACTCATAACACATAGGATTTTATTCATCGATAACAACAACAACAACAACAATAGGATCACTAAATTGATCCCAATTTTTCAAAAACAACAACAAAATAACCCATCATTGCATCGACTACTGTGTACCATAAGCTGGCTGTATAGGATGAGATCACCTGTATGTGTGTTGGATCAGCTGATGCAGTGATTATTTATTTTTATGTTTTGTTTTTATTATTAATCCTTCTCTCTCTCTCTCTCTCTCTCTCTCTCTCTCTCTCTCTCTCTCTCTCTCTCTCTCTCTCTCTCTCTCTCTCTCTCTCTCTCTCTCTCTCTCTCTCTCTCTCTCTCTCTCTCTCTCTGTCTCACTCACTCACTCACTCACTCACTCACTCACTCACTCACTCACTCACTCACTCACTCTCGTCTCTCTCTCTCTTTCACCGCAGATGATGCCGAAGACAAAGATGTCGTCGTCAACGATGGCCAGAGTTTTAGCCAAAGATGTATTCGAAGAGATGCGCGAAGAAACCGAGCGACTATTCCGCGAACTACAGTTATGTCAGCGATATATAGATCTTTGTCGACAATATCGTCAGCTGGTCCTCGATTTCAGGAACGGCTGTGTCTGCGACCAGAATTTGCTTAACGAAACCAAGTTGTCCACTGTTGAGACTGGCTATACGGATGTTGAAGAATCGGCCATACAGTTGGCGACGGTTGAAAAAGCACAGCAACAACAACAACAACAAGCGATTCAAACTACCAAAGTCGAGGTCAACGCTGATAATAATAACAATATGGACAACAAATATGATGACAACAACGAGTGTCATATGTTGTCGGTCATAGATTTCGGTGTCGACACCGTCACTGCCGTCGCTGATGAATATGATGACAACAGCAGAGACTATAGACCATCAGCCCTGTCATCTAAGAGGTTGCGTCGTACTGTGCCATCGAAACGCAGACCATACAAGAAACGTACCGGCAATGACGGATCAGCCATCAACAACACAGATGGACAACATAATGATGACAATGTTATCGTCAAACTGGTCAAAGATAAGGCCAATCGGTTGCGCAAACGCTACTACTATTTCAACTACAAGTGCCACTGGGAGGGCTGTCAACGACGATTCGGTAAACATGACGAACTACTGGCCCATATTAGCAGCGCTCATACACAGGAACGGCCGCATAAGTGTCCGCAATGTGACCGATCGTTTGCCACCGAAAGCTATTTGCGTCAACACCGCAAGTCGCACGACACGCAACGGCAACGCTATGAATGCGAACTCCTGGACTGCCAGAAGTCGTTTACAACGAAATCAGGTCTCTTAAAACATCGGACAACTGTCCATTCGGACGAACGGCCGTTTGAATGTACGTATCCCGAGTGCGGCGCCAAATACAAGTCAAACGATGCACTGAAAAATCACGAATACAGTCATCAGACAGCAGGTGGTGGTGAACAACACAACTGTCCGTATCAGTCGTGTCCGAAACGGTTTACCACAAAAGCCGATCTTGAGGTTCATATGGCCAGACATACTCGGTCGACGTTGAAACGTGTTCGTCGAAATTACCGATGCCATTGGCCGGGTTGCGACTATTCGGGTACCAAACAGGAACTGGGTGTACATGTTAACCGACATCAAAACTATAAGCCCTACAGGTGTCCGCATCAGGGTTGCCAGATTAGCTACTATACCGACTACGATCTCAGACAGCATACTATCAAAGTACATGTGGTGACCAATCCGGAGGACAAACAGTTCAAGTGTACAGCCCAGGACTGTACGAAAACCTACGCTACCGAACGTGACCTCAAACGTCATCGGCGCCGACACGACCGTATCTATCGATGTTCGTGGCCCGAATGCGATCAGTCGTATGCGGCCAAAGTATTGCTGGCCGAACATATGGATCGTCACTTGAATGTCAAGTCCCATAAGTGTCACTTATGTCCGAAAGAATTTTTTACGAAAAACAATTGTCGAACTCATATGAAAAATGTTCATAAATTTATATACAAAACTAATTAATTAATTAGTTTTATCCGTAATTTTTTTTTAATTTTTAGTTTTTATTATCATTACTTAAAATCAATTTTTTTGTTGAGATTTTTTATTTATACATATTTTTACCGTAAATATAGCTATTTATTAATACAGTATTATTAAACAGTTAATTAATGTAATATAAATTTTTGTTGTCGTTGTTGTTGTTGTAAATATATAAATAATTTATTATAGGATATAATTGTAATATTATATAATAATTTTTTTAATTTTAATTATTGTAATATATTAAAATTTTAAAATAATTAATTAATTATAATTAACATTAACTTAACATCAATTAAATTATAAGAGATTGTTTATTATCGTAATTATTATTATTATTAATACTAAAAAAATGTATTTTTTAAACCAATTTTTTTTTAATTACAAAACATTAAAATCTAATTTAATTTTTTACCCAAAAAAAATTAATTAATTTCAATTCAATAGTTATTATGTATTTTAACTTTTTTTTGTTTTGTTTTAATTAATAGACAAAACGTTATTAATGTTTACGTTTTTACTGATAATAAACTTCAATAATAATAATAATAAAAAATTTGTGTCAAAAATCACATAATCATTGTTAACAACAACGACAACAACAATATCACCATTAAATTGATCCCAAGTTTTGTTTTTTTTCAGACAACAACAACAACAATATCATCAATCACTTGTCTGCAGCACCTGTAGTATTGAACTACAGTAAGTGGTGTACTGTCTGTACCGCCGGGTTTGTCGCGCCGGCCGATATATCGCGCGGTTGGATCAGCTAATGCTCTCTCTTACTCTCTCTCTCTCTCTCTCTCTCTCTCTCTCTCTCTCAGCGCTCGATGTCATCATCGTCTCGGAGATCAACAACGACTACTCGGACGACACGGAAAGTGATGGCCGCCAAAGTCGATGATGACATAACTAAGCCGTTGGCGGCGGAGTCGTCGTCGTCGTCGTCCTCGTCGTTAGCCTATCACTGTTCGTACCAGTCGTGTACGCGTGTGTTCACCACACGAGAAGCACTGGTCAATCATCAGTCACGGCATACGAGAAGGAAAACGGCTGGTAATGACGGCGGTGGCCGCCGGAAGCGTACCGTACGGCGTGACTGTCTGTGCCAGTGGCCCGACTGCGAGTTTGCCGGTACCAAACAGGAACTGGAAATACATATGAATCGACACGAAAATCGGCGGCCATTTCACTGCCCGGTCGACGGTTGCCAACAAACCTATATACGTGACTACGATCTCCGACAACACCATCAACGAGTACATGTGCTTACGAAACCCGAAGACAAACAATTCAAGTGTCCGGTCGACGGCTGTACTAAAGCCTACGTTACCGAACGTGACCTCAAATTGCATCGTCGCCGTCACGACCGTATCTATCGCTGTCATTGGCCCGAATGTGACCAGTCGTACGCTACGAAAATCCTATTATCGGAACATATTGATCGGCACCAGAATTATAGGTCACATAAATGTGATTTTTGTTATAAAGAATTTTTTACGAAAAACAATTGGATTATTCATATGAAAAGAGTACATAAATTTGATTATAAAACTAATTCATTGTTAAAATAATTTTTGTAATTTAATTAATTAACTAATTAACTAATTATAATAATAATAATAATGATTATTATTATTATGAATAAATAATAAAACAACAAAATATTAAACTACTATTAATATTATTTAAATTTTTGTTGTTGTATTGTATAATAAAGTTTTAAAGTATTTTTTACATTTTAAAAATCAATTAATTGCAAGTAATTGTATACAATTATAATTTAATTTAATAATAAAACAATTTATTTATTTAACCATATATTTATTAAACTTCACTATTTTATTATTAAAATTTGAAATTATATTAAAATTGTTTAAAAGAAAATACCTAAAAAAAAATAAGTGAACCAAAAAATAAATACAAAAAACTTAAATTGTTTAATTTTTCAATCAATTCAAACTACTATAAATTAATTCGGGGGGGTGGGTGGGGGTTGAAATAATAATAATAATAATTTTATTATTAAAAAAATTAATATATATTTTTTAAATATACTGTTAATATACTGTTTGAATATACAGTGTATAATAAACTGTATAAATAAAAAAAATAAAATAAAAAATAAAAACTTAATGTTTATGTATTTTTTTTTGTTGTGTTTACAAACATATTGTTATTATTATTATTATTATTATTATTATTATTATTATTATTATTATTATTAAATAAGTTATTAAATATATAAGTCATTAAATCAATCAATTAATAGCATCGGTAATGTCTACCGACTGACTGACTGACTGACTGACCGATCGGCCGACTGGTCTGCGTGTGTGTGCGTGTGTGTCGAGTCGTGTGTTGGATCAGCTGTTGGTTGTCGGTTGGCTGAAGTTTTACTGAAGTCAATGGTTTTTTTTGTCGTCGCGCGCGATCTTCATCGGTATTATACGATAATCAGGTGATATATCGCGCCCGCGATGTCGAAGATGTCGTCAACAGCAGCAATGATGGCCAGATGTGTGGCCAAAGATCTGTTTGATGAGATGGTCGAAGAAACCGAACGACTATCAAGTGAACTACAGATGTGCTACCGATATATAGATCTCTGTCGACAGTATCGGCAACTGGTGTTGGACTTTAGGATGGGCTGTATGTGCGACCAGATGGCGGCGGCAGCGGCGACAACGGCTGAGGTGGACAACAACAACAAGAACGACATGACGACAAGGATCGATACCGTAGAGATTGGCTACGCGGCCGTCGAAGAGTCAATGTTGTTGGCCGTCTCAGGACAGCAACCGATGGTCAGCGATCTGATTATTGGATGCGAAGATATTCAGAGCGAATATAGACCACCGCCGCCGTCGCCGCCGGCAGTGTTGGCGGCGGCGGTGAAGCGCAGGTCATACACGAAACGTAATATTACTGGCGATGTTGACACCGATAAGAACGATGTCATTGTCAAACTGGTCAAAGATAGGGCCACCAATCAGTTGCGCAAACGTTACTACTATTTCAATCACAAATGTCATTGGGATGGTTGCGAGCGCCGATTCGGCAAACGTGACCAACTGTTGGCCCATATTAGCAGTGCTCATACTCAGCAGCGGCCGTACAAGTGTTCACAATGTGACCGCACGTTTGCTACCGAAACCTATCGACGACAACACCACGACTTACAACACAAAGACAAAGACGTCGTTGTTCAGCGACAAATACATGAATGCTGTTTTATTGGCTGCCAGAAGACGTTTACCGGTATGTCTGGACTGGCAAAACATCGCCGTACTGTCCATTCGGACGGACGACCGTTTGTCTGTACGCAGAGTGATTGCAGCGCCAAATACAAGTCAAACGATGCGCTCAAGAATCACGTACTGATCAGACATCCGACGACAACGTCGTCGAAAGAAGTACAATACCATTGTTGTCCAGACCAGTCGTGTAGCCGTAAGTTTTCGACGGCACAGAAGCTGGATGTTCATCAACAGTCACGACACTCCTCATCGACGACAACCAGGAGGTCATCGGTGTTACGCCGTAATTGCCGCTGCCATTGGCCGGGTTGTGACTATTCGGGTACCAAACAAGAGTTGGGCATACATTTCAATCGACACCAGAATCACAAACCCTACCTGTGCTCGCATCAGGGCTGCCACCAGACCTACTATACCGACTACGATCTCAGACAGCATACTATCAAAGTACATGTTGTGACCAATCCCGAGGACAAACAGTTCAGGTGTACGGCCAAGGACTGTACGAAAACGTACGCAACCGAACGTGACCTGAAGCGTCACCTACGGCGACACGACCGTATCTATCGATGTTCGTGGCCCGAATGTGACCAGTCGTATGCGGCCAAAGTTCATTTGGCCGAACATATGGACAGACATTTGAATAGAAAGTCTCATAAGTGTCACATCTGTGCCAAAGAGTTTTTCTCGAAAACCAATTGTCGGACGCATTTGAAAAATGTTCATAAATTTTATTAATAGTTATTATAATTTTAATTATTTTAATTAATATTATTATTATTATTACATTTTTTAATTATTAATTCTAAATAATTTTGTTTTAAAAAATAATTATTTATTTTTTGTTTGTTTCTAAATACTGTATATAATATATTGTTAACTATTATTAACTTTAGTAGCTTATTATAAATAATTATTAAAATAATAATTATTATTTTATCTATAAAAAAAAATAAATAAATAAAAATAATAATTATTAAATATATTTATTAATGTTAAAAATTAATTAATAAAATTTTAATTATTAATTCTAATAATTTTGTTTTCAAAAAAATAATAATTTTTTTTGTTTGTTTCTAAATACTGTATAATACAGTGTATATAATAAATTATTAACTATTATTAAATAATAATAATTATTTTATCTATAAATAAATAAATAAAAATAATAATTATTAATGTTAAAAATTAATTAATAAAATTTTAATTATTAATTCTAATAATTTTGTTTTAAAAACTAATAATTTATTTTTTGTTTGTTTCTAAATACTGTATAATACAGTGTATATAATATATAATATATTATTAACTATTATTAAATAATAATAATTATTTTATCTATAAATAAATAAATAAAAATAATAATTATTAATGTTAAAAATTAATTAATAAAATTTTAATTATTAATTCTAATAATTTTGTTTTAAAAACTAATAATTTATTTTTTGTTTGTTTCTAAATACTGTATAATACAGTGTATATAATATATAATATATTATTAACTATTATTAAATAATAATAATTATTTTATCTATAAATAAATAAATAAAAATAATAATTATTAATGTTAAAATTAATTAATAAAATTTTAATTTAAAAAACATAAAATCAATTTTATAACTACCGCTGCTTGTTTACGCCCACACACACACACACACACACACACACACACACACACACACACACACAATATAGACTTGCCTACTATACAGGTGCCACCTGTTTATTTTACCAATAGTATTACATGTATTTTAGTACATGTACAATTTTTTTTTTTTTAGTTATTTATTTACTGTCTACTGTAGTTAAATTATTAGACGACATATTATATTTAAAAAAATGTTAAATCATTAGGTTACCAGTGTATATTTTTAAATAATAATAATAATAATAATCAACTTATCATGCTAATCAAATAATAATAATAATAATAATAATTAATCAATTTTATAAAAATTTATATTAAAAGTTTAAAAAAAAATATATATTATACATACATAAGTAAATAATAATAATAATTAATTTTAATTAAAACTAATAAAAAACTATTTGGTCAGCCTATAGACCGCTATATTATTATATGATTTATATTATTATAATATAATACACTTTCGGGTGTTCGGGTGGTTGACCACCAGTTTAGTGACAACACAGCACGCGTGAACCGTAGCCGCAGCCGCCGCCCGAACGGGAATCACCGCCGAAAGATATGGCCACCTCTGCTGCTGCAGCCGTCGCAGCCGTCAGACTGGTCTGCAAAGACGTGTTCGACGAGTTGACCGACGAAAACGAGCGCCTATTGGACGACCTTCGCCTTAGCCATCGATATGTCAATCTATGCGAACAGTATCGGCAACTGGTGTTCGACTTTCGCAATGGCTGTGTATGCGACCAGAATGTGGCCACAGAAGCCAAGATCAATGCCGTCGAAATTGATTACAATACGGCCAAAGAGTGCGAAACACAGTTGACGGCCGATAGGGCTGCGAAATTGGCCGCACGATTGGCCCGCGAAGCCGAAGAGGAAGCAGCGGCGGCAGCAGCTGCTGCTGCAATAGCGGCGGCCAATGTTTCGCCGACAGCGACTACGGGCAAACCGAGAGGCAGACGACGTAATGGCGGCATCAAACGTGAGATTACCGGCGCTGATGACTATGTCCAGGAAGATGTTGTCGGCGGTGATGATGACGATGACGACGACGACGACGACGACATTACAGACAAACCGTTTAGGCCTAAGAAGACAACGACAACGAAGACGACGCCGCGGACACTATCAATGTTACCGTCGAAACGGAGGTCATACAAGAAGCGCAATATGACCGGCGATGGATCGAATAATACCGATGATACGGATGTTATCATCAAATTGGTCCGAACAAAGTCCAATAAAATTCGTCGCCGATATTACTATTTCAATCACAAGTGTCAGTGGGAGGGATGCGACCGAAAGTTTGGCAAACGTGAAGAACTGTTGGCACACGTGAGTAGTGCCCATACAAAGGAGCGGCCGTTTAAGTGTAAACAATGTCAACGATCTTTTGCTACCGAAAGCTATCTGCGATCGCACGAGAAGTCCCATAAATCACGTGAACGTCGTTACGAATGCGATCTAATGGACTGCCAGAAGGCGTTCGTATCGAAGTATAGTCTGGTCAAACATCAGACGACTGTCCATTCGGATTGTCGACCCTATGTCTGCCAATACGGCGATTGCGGTGCCAAATATAAGGCCAAAGATTCACTACAGCGACACGAACTTAGCCATCAATCGGGCGAACAATTTCGCTGTCCGTACGAGTCGTGTCCGAAATCCTATCCGCACAAAGAAGACCTGGACGTACATATGTCCCGTCATACCCGATCGTCGTTCAAGAAGACACGTACGAAAAAATTTCAATGTCATTGGCCGGGATGTCAGTACTCGTTCAGCGGTAAACAACAATTGGAGTATCATATGAACCGTCACCAGAATATTAAGCCATTTCCGTGTGAAGTTAGCGGCTGTCAGATGACATACTATACACCCTATGAGTTGAATCATCATATGAATCGTGCGCACCGGTGTGTCGATGATAAAGACAAAGAGTTTGTTTGCGATCTGGACGGTTGCGGTAAACGTTATGCCAACCGGTATGACCTCAAGCGACATAAGCGCCGACACGATCGTATCTATAGATGTTCGTGGCCCGAATGTGACCAGTCGTATCCGGCAAAGATTGCATTGAAAGAACATATGGACAGACATCTGAATGTTAAGACACATAAGTGTCACTTTTGTGGTAAAGAATTTTTTGCTAAAAATAATTTTCAAACACATCTGAAAAATATACATAAGTTTGTATTCAAAACGTTTAAATGATTTTATTTTTTTAATGATTTATTTTTTTGGGTTTTAATTTTATGTTTATTTTTTTTTGAATTTATGAAGTTTTTATGAATTATTTTTTTTGTTTTTTTCCTAATTTATTAATTATGAGAAATAATTATAATATATATATTATATATGTTTATGATTTAACAACAACAATTAATTAATTAATTAAATACACCAATTAAACGAAATTGTATCATGGTAATTTATTGTTTTTTTTATAAACAAATAATACAATAAAAATAATAATTAATTTTAATAATAATAATTAATTATTAATTATTATCAAAACAATACTATTTCTATTGATTTTTGTTATTAATAATACAATAATCTAATAATACTGTAATTATATAAATATAAATAAATAATATTATATAAATTATAATTAATTTTTTAATTTTTTGGCCAATATTTTTATTTTGTAAAATAATTTTTTTTTATTAATTAAATTAATTAATAATTATTTATAGAAATATATTTTATTGTATTTATTAGAAAAAATATAATATATATCTATTGGTATAATATTAATAAATTATTTATTGATTTATTTTTTCGCTAATATTTTAAATAATTAAAAATTTATTTTTAATTAATTTTTATTACATTATGTTAAATATATCAAATAAAATAATTTACTATACATTTAAAATGCTATTTAAATAATACATACTAAATATACTGTAATTATAAACAGTGTTTACTGTATTTCCATTGACTATACTATTTGACAACAAACAAAAAAATGTAAACAAATTGTAAACTACAGTAAAAACTATTTATTTGAAAAAAATTAAACCAAAAAAAAAATCAAAACACAAATATATCACTAATCATGTGATATATTATATCATAATAACAACAATTAGTAAAACAATTATCATATTATTAGCGGTAAAGACAACAACAATAACAACAACACAATCGCTGGTCACACAAATGCCGCGCAAATCATATTCATCGATGATTACCGTCGATGTCAACGACTGTTTCGATGAACTTCGTCAGGAAAACACCCGACTAGTAGTCGTGATGATTGATCTGAAGAGACAATTACAGCAATTGCTGGCGAAATATGATGCCTTGTTTCCGGTGGACGACTGGCAACGTATTGGCCGACTGTTGGATACGACCGCCGATGAAAAGTATCGACAGTTTCCGGACGCCGTCACAGAAGACGACGTCGAAACGATAATCCCGTTGATTGTCAAACAGGAGGACACAGAGGCGTCGGCGGTGGCGGCGGAAATCGATGACCAATTGACGAAAGTGTTGTCGTCGTCGGAACCGTTGACTGCCGAAGCGGGAAAACGCCGCCACTTAACGACGACGCCGACCACGACTGTTGCCACCCGACGACGTAAAGCATTTGTCAAACAGGACCGACGCGGCAATCGATCGACTGGTGAACTAAAGATATGGCTAACGAAAGCCGCGATTTGCGACGAAACGACTGGCCTGTACTGGTGTCCGGTTGACGGCTGTCGTCGAGGCCGTCGTAGCGATGATGATGAAGCCGTCGGCGGTGATGACCACAATGACCGAGAGGAGGATAGAGGGTTTGGCGAGTTTAAGATGCTTTACGATCACTACATCTATCATCATTATATACCGAAAAGCTATCGCTGCCGACATTGCGGTAACGGTTTCAAATCGCCGTCGCATTTGCGCGATCACGAGGCCCGACATACCAAAGAAAAACGATTTGCCTGTCCGTGCGGTAAACGATACAAAACGGATAAGGATCTAAAGTTTCATCGACGCAATCGTTGCGAAAACTATCCGATGTCGAGGAAGACGACAGAGTTGTCGTCGACAACGACGTCGGCGGCATCAGCTGTGATTCAGACGGCGGCGGATAATAATAGCTGTGATAATACTAATACCGATGAGACAATTGTTGGTATTAGCGATGAATTATTGTTGGACTCGACGACGATGACGACTACTACTACTAATAAGACAATAGCCGATCAAATTGCTGACCAAATTGCTGATCAAATGATGTTTGATATTTCCGATGATATACGACATCAACCGCCGCCGTCATCATTGTTGACGACAATTTTACCGCAACGGCTACGCGAAGAGACTGTTGCGGTCACATTGAAACCGTTGTCGCAAAACAATTACGACGAATCCATTGGTCAGTATGTCTGTCCCTATCCGATCTGTCTGAAGCCGTTCGCCACCAATAAGACACTCTACAAACACTACTACTATACTCATTACAAGAAAAACAGACTGTTCTGCCGCTACTGTGGCAATGGTTACAAGTATTTGTCGCATTTGCGCGAACACGAAGTCCGTCATCAACACGACCGACCGTTTCGGTGTCCGCATCGACGGTGCGGCAAACGTTATAAGACATTAAATGTACTGCAGTTTCATCTGAGCCATCACTGTCCGTTCGAGAAGCTTAACAAAGATGATGTCAATGATTTTGGTGTCGGTGTTGATGATGGTGGAGGTGGTGGTGACGACGAGATAACGATTCTCAATGACTACAATAATGCCAATGAAATACGGGAGACAACGACTACTACTACGATCACTGACCACATCACTCAATCGACATCATCGGTAGACAATGACAATAATAGCAGTGAGCCAACCAATAATAGTATCACCGCTGCCAATGTCTTATCTAGAATATCAATGGGCGACAACTTTGATTCAACTAAACAACTGTACTGTTGTCCGACTGTTGGCTGCGATAGTCAAGGTTTTCGTGACAAGAAGTCACTGTACAATCATTTCTATTACAATCACAGGCGTCGGCTCAAAGATGGCCGACTCGGTTGCAATCTGTGTAGCAAATCGTTTACATTTCGGTCACAACTGGACGAACATCGGCTGTCACACTCATCGGGCCAGCCCTACCGCTGTCCGCATCCGGATTGCGACAAACAGTATAAGCAGATAAAAAATTTGCGCCACCATCGACGCTATCATCATCAGGAACAGTTGCCCCAGTGGACTGGCGGCCGGATCCAGACTCGACCGCCGCTATACGACAACCAGACCACCACCGCCAAGGACTCGACCAATGGACCGATAACTTGCGAACAATGCGGTAAACAATTGAAATCGCAGCCGCACTACAACCTGCATCGGACACACTTTCATAGCGAACGCAAGACATGCCGGTGTCGAGTGGACGGTTGCGACCAAATATTTCAGACGCCCAGTCAGCTGCGCGTACATCGTATACGCGAACATAACTTTCCGGTTCAACAGCGACGCAATTTCCCGCTCAGACAATGCGAATGGCCCGGCTGTGACTATCAGACTACACATTCGGGTGCCTACAATCGCCATCAGCGGGTCCATACCGGCGAGAAACCCTACCAGTGCCAGTGGCCCGGCTGTTATAAGGGGTTGTCGTCGACGGTGTCCCTTAACGATCACATGCAGATGCATGAAAACAAGCGTCCGTTTTCCTGTCATTGGCCCGGCTGTGGCTATCGGGCTAACTCGAAAAAATATATTGAAAAACATGTGAAAAAACGGCACAAATAGTATCATCGCACGCGCGCGCACACACGCAACACGTGTGTGTGTTAATTGCGTGTTTTTGTTTGAAATTCATATTTATTTATTTTTTGGTATTTAATTTAATTTAATTACAATTTTTTTAATTACAAATATATATGCAATAAATCATTATTAAGTGTTTTGTTTAATCAAATGAATCGTTTTATAAGTCTGTAATAATATATTAGTTTTTTTTATATAAACTATAACATCAATTAAATGGATATTATTATTATTGTTTTAATAATTTAATTAAATTTTATGATATTTTTTTCAACAACAAATGTTTAGCAAATACAACAAATATTTTGTTTATTGTTTTTGTGAATAATTATAATAATATTAGATTAAAAAACAATAGACTATTTAAAACTAAACAAAAATTATTTTCACTTAAACAAAAATTTTTAATAGTTTTTATATACAATTGCCAATACTATTATAAAATCAGAGGCGGGTTAGTGGGGGGAGGGGGTGTTAAAATATTTAGTATTCAATACAAAAAAAAACACATTTAATATTTAATAAATCTAATATTACCAATTTTATAATAATTTTTGTTAAACATATAATTAACAATAGTTTCGTTGCAATTATTATCATTAATACGATTGGATTTTTTATCGTAAACTTTATGAACTAGTTTGCCAAACATATCGACACAGACATCGCGAAACATTAGTACAGATACGCCAAACCATAGACTGATAATACTGGCCATTAGACAGAGGTATTCTTCGGCAGACATTTTCAATGATATTTTGTAAACGGTTTTCGGATGTGCGGGCGCTTCCAATATGACTGTATAGACGGCGGCGGGATTTTTGTGCAGTTGACGATAGTCCTGATGTATGTCATAGTAGTTTGCATGACATATGGCATATCGGTAGCACCGGCGGCTACAATCGCCCGGTTCTATAGTACGGACAAATAGTTTCCTATAGTATTGGCCATACGTTAGGTTGTTGTTGTTGTTTGTGTCGGTGCCGTCGCCACCAATTTCAGCGATAATACATTCGTCTATACATTGCTGACGGGAATAGTGGTCGGGTGGCAAACATTTTAAATGACTGGGCGGATGATTATACTGGACACTGGTATGTCTATAGCCTAGTGTACAGGTATCCGATTTACTTGTCTTAACCAATCGGACATCACGCCTGAAATAATCGTATATCCGTTCCCCAGGTGTATGTATAGTAACTGTCAGATCGTTGAATGGTAACCGATGTCCATCGATACCCGTAATCGACAAATAGCATGACATCAATGAATTAAACCCAACATACATATTGGTGATCATGTATCCATTGATGTTTAGTTTAGCATTATCATCATAATCATCATCATCATTATCACCATTACGGTTATATCTGGCAAATATGGTCATACAATAGAGTGTACCAATAATTTTCGTATAATAAGGTCCAGTCCGGGTATTGCATGGTTCAAGCATTTTGCTGAGATTACCAGTAAATAGTTGACATTGAATGAGTTTAGTTGGTTCCCATAGCCGAACTAACTGTTCACTAAGTGTAAGATTGTCCAGATAGGCGTACGGTGTCGATGGTGACCGGCCCAGTGCTCGGCTATAGTTAGCCCAGTATTTGGGTTTAAGCAGCGCTAGCTTATCAATGCAAACGGTAATACCGGGTAATTCAATGTACTCGTCCAACTCATATCGGACATCGGTAATAGTCTTGTAGGACAGGTATCGGTGACTGATCTGATAGGTCTGGTAGAGATAACCCCATAAACATAACAGATTTATTAGCCATTTTAATATTTGGAAATAATTCATAATTTTTTTTGGTTGTTCAGACATTAAGTTGTTTTGCAAAATATAATAGTATTTTTTCAAAAGTTATGTAATGTATATGATATGATGTGTTTGTGACAATTTATATGCAAATTATTATTAATAATATATATATAAATATTTATATTTAATTGTAAAATAAAATAATTCAATTTATTTCAACATAGTTTTTATTGCATAATCTAATATTATTATTATTATTATTATTATTTGATAAACAAACTATTGTCTATCTTAAATAAATTTATTTATTTTATTTTAATATTGGTATTATTATTATTATTATTAAAATAATGTTAATGTTGTTTATAGACTATAATATAGTGAATAAGTGAACTATACTAGGTTATACAAGTAAAATATTAATAAATTTAATAAATTTAATAAATTAATAAAATAAATAATATTACGGTATTATGATATAAGTTTATTTATATTAAATAATAAATTAAATAATATTTTTTAAAAAAATTATTAACTAATTTACAATAATATTTTTAATATTTAATATTAATTGTTTAATTTAAGCATTTTATAAACCTATTGTATATTAACTAAATATATAATACTATAGATTTTTTATTTAATATAAGGGTATAAAATCTAATATTTTAATTAGTCATTGATATTAATATTTTTTATTTACTATATATATATATATTATTGTCGGTTTGAAAACAATAAATTTATTTATTTATTTTTACTTTTCATTTATCAGGGATAGTTAGAGAGAGAGAGAGAGAGAGAGAGAGAGAGAGAGAGAGAGAGAGAGAGAGAGAGTCAAAATTAATTGTTAAAAATTTAATAATAAGTCAAGTCATCTCATATTTGTAGTAAAAAAATTACATTGTTTTTATACAGTAGTATTTATTTTTTTTGTCAATTGTTTAATTAAATAAAAAATAATATTTTTTATAATAATAATATTTTTAAATATATATATAAATAAACTAAATATAAATTTAAAAAAAAATTTAATTATGATTTTAAAAGATAAAGTTGCTTTAATAACAGGTATTAAAAAATATAGTAATAATAATCATTAATTATAAACAAATACAATTTAAAAAAAGTATATCAAATAATTATAAATTTTTAAAATAATACTTATTATTATTTTAATAATAATATTTGATTTCAATGATAACCACAAAAAAATATCTTTAATTTTTTAAAATCTTTTTAAGGATCAACTTCTGGCATCGGAAAAGCCATAGCCATAAAACTGTCGACACTGGGAGCCCGGATAGTCATTACAGGCTTAGGTGATCCACAAGATATCGATGAACTGGTAGTTGAATGCAGACAATGTAATCCTCTAACATGTAATGCTGATGACGTATGTGATGGCCCCGCCATTAGACAACCGACAGCTATCAGTGTTTGTGCCGATCTATTAGTGGACAACGATGTCGATAGTCTATACCAAATAGTGATGACAGTGTACGGCAAATGCGATATTTTAGTCCATAGCGCCGGTGTTTTACAATTTAATGATTTTATGACTACCGGTGCCGGTGATGGTGCTAACTATATGGACAGTTATGATCAGGAAATGCTATTTGTAAGGAACAGCCAACGATTGACACAATTGTTTTTGAGGTCATTGATTGCCAATAAGGGTTGTATTTGTTTTATAACCGGTAATTTAGATCAACCGGTTAGTATTGAAATTTTAATTTTAATTAAAAAAAATTGTCTATGTCTATATATTGTAGTTTATTTTTAATTAATTATTTTATAATTAATTAATTATATATATATATATATATATAGCATATATTGTATTATTAAATACTGTATATATATATAATTTATTCATAGCATCCGATAATATTGGCCAACAATTTAAACAAATCGTGTATCGATATGTTTAGCAAATGTTTGGCTATTGAATTAAAGCCATACAATGTACGTGTTAATTGTATCAGGTAGATTTTTTTAATATAAAAAAATTAATTAATTAATTATTAGTTTATTTATATAAAATATTAAAAAAAAAAATTTATTATATATATATACACTATATATCTATTACACTATACTATAAGTCCTGGAGTTATAGCAACACCAATGGTAACAAATGTACCGATGATCAGGGATATAGCTTTTTCGGCCGATTATATCAATCAGATACCATTGCGGAGAATCGGTACGGCCTATGATGTGGCCAATGCAGTCGTTGGATTTATAGTGATTGATAATAAGTCAAATTTTTTAACCGGTTCAAGATTATCGGTAAACGGTGGACATTGAATTATAATTTTTTTGAAAATAAATTCAACAATTATTATCATTATTTTTAAGTTTATTTTTATTAATTAATTATTAATAAGTTATAAATATATAGTGTATGAATAAAAAATATATTATAATTATCATTATAAGTACTTTTTAAAGAAAATAAATAACTTTAAGCACACAATAAAAATCAAAAATTGCTATTTAATTAATTAATTTTTTTAAAAAAACAAATTAATACAATAATTGTATTGTAAACGCGTGTCTTATAATGTGGTTACAGATATATAATAATTATAAATTTATAAAATTAATTATATATATACAGTATATTGTGTATGTATGTGTGTGTGTGTGTGTGTGGCTACAGGTGCTGTTCACAGTTATTATTATCATTATTATTATTAGATAAGAAACAGTGAGATTTAAATAGTTAGTGTTTATACCATTAGTTAAGATAAAAATATCTATTGACTATAAAAAATAAAACAAACAAAAACATAATAAACTGTCGGTTAATCATTTAGGATAGGATTACCAGATGATTGATTGATTGATTGATAGATAGTATTATCGATTGTCGATAACTCAGTCAATAATCTGTATATATACTGTATAATCAAGGGTTAAGCAAATTTTGTTGGTCTAGGGGTGGGGTGGGGTGGGAGGGAGATATCTATATTGGCCTATAGTGGTTGTAGTAGTGTTTAACGTAAAGTTGTGTTTATTGATAATTGTTAATAAGATACCGGCGCCTAGTTTTCCATCGTTTTACGACCGCAGCAGCAGCAGCATCGGTATTATTAGTCCATTTGGCCAACATTATTGGTAGGCCAAACCATAGACTAATCAAACCGCCCATATGGCACACGTAGTCGATGAATGTCATCCGCAAAAATAGCAGATATTCGGTTTTCGGTTGCGACTGTGCCTTAATTAGTATTGTATAGACCGATGATGATGATGATGATGATTGGGGATCCAACCAATTGTTAGGATAATCATAATCCATAGAGACATCATAATAATTTGTATAGCATAGGACACGTTGGCTGCATTGTTGAACACAATCGCCCGGTTCTCTGGAACGGTATTCGGCATCAAATTTCCTATAGTATTGGCCATACGTTAGGTTGTTGTTGTTGTTGATAGCATTATCATCGTCATCATCACCACCCGGGTGTCCAATCTTTCGGATAATACATTTTTCTATACATTCCTCGTGGGAACGGTATGCGGTCAAACATCGCGGCGGTGGCTGCCTGTCCTCTCTATAGCGATAACTAGTCTGACTATAGCTTAGTGTGCATACAGACGACTGTGTATTGGCTGTAAATATAATCGGATAGACTGACCGTTCATATAAACCGTTTACCTGTTCCTCCGGTGAATGTATAGTAAACATAATACTACTATCCAATTGTCTTGTATTAATAGTTTCAGTTAGCAATCGTCTACTTATAGGATCAGTTAGGTTCAATTGGCAGTCCAACATTAATTTCAAATCACTACCATCATCACTAGTCATCGTCATAGTATTACTGTTGTTATATCTGGCAACCATGGTCATACAATAGTGATGGTCAATAATTTTCGGATAGCTATACTGTTGTCCAATAGTTACCGGTATCTGGTCTATATATGGGTGCCGTCCAAACATTTCCTTGTTGTTGTTGTTTTTCCAATTGTCGGCAGCTGTTAGTTGACATTGGATCAGTTTACTTGGTTCCCATAGACGAGCTAACTGTTCCTTATAGGTTAGACTATCCAGATAGTCGTACTGATTGGTAGTAGTAGTAGTATTAGTAGATGACTGGTCCAGTAGTTTATGGGTATAGTTAGCAGCCTTCGTCATCATGTCGTAGTATTCAGGTTTGATAAGTGCCAGCTTATCCAGACATAGGGTAATACCGGGAAATCTAATATATCGATAGCCATATCGGATATTGGATACAGTATTGTAGGACAGGTATAGATCTGTTAACAGATATGAATGATAGATATAGCCGGACAAACAAAACAATATTATTAACCCTAAAACTATTTGAAGAAACATATTGTTGTTTAGTATATATTATAGATTAGACACCCATTTAATTAGTATCTGGGTAATCTTGTATTTATAATAATTTAATTTATACAGTATGCAAAATAAAAACTTTATTTATTATTAACTATTGCTATAACTACTGTATTAAATAATACTAAAACCTATTTTATTAGGTAAACAAATTTATTACCAAAATATACTGTAATATTTTATTATTTATTATTGTATTTATATAATTAAATTTTATTATTGTAAAAATAAATTTTTATTTGTATTTATTATTAATAAAATATATTATATTATTATATTTTCTATTTTAGTATTAAATATTCTTTACTATTGAATGTTTTATTTAATTTTATCTAATATGATATATAAATAAATTATATTACAGGTAAAAACATAATTAACTTTTATTATTAAAAAAATGTTTATTTCTAGAGATTTTGTTACTTATAGTACTAATATTAATACTAATGATTAAAATATTATTACTACTAAATACTAATGATACTAATAAAATTAGTCATCAAAAATAGTTAACTTGTAGTATAGGTTATTGATTATGTAATGATAATTTTTATTTTATTAATATAAATAATTTTTAACGCGACTAATTAATATTATTTAATTATAATTTATTAGCATTTAGTTAAAAAACAAAAAGTTTTATACATAAAAAAATAATTTTCAAAGTATACTAGATAAATTATCTATTTTAGAGTACACATGTATAAAAACATAAAAATATAATATTAATAATAATTATATTAATTATTTTAATGATAATATTATTAATAATAATAATAATAATAATGATAATACAGGTATCGATATCGATAGGGTAAATGTGCGTCAAAAAAAACATAGTGTTAACAAACAATGTAAAGTATACTAGGAATAGGATATACAATATAAGGTATATATAACTTATAAATTTATATATATATTATCTCAACAGCTCCGGGCGTTTTTTTTTTGGTTGGTTGTTGTTTCTTACAACACTATATATTGCCTGTAGTAGTAGTTCTGTTGGTTCTTGATCTTGAGGTAAAGGTGTTTATCGACAATTGTCGCCAATTGCTTATAATAATATACAGGCGCCTAGTTTTCCATCGTTTTACGACCGGGACCGCAGCAGCAGCAGCAGCAGCATCGGTATTAATAATCCAACCGGCCAACAGTACTGGTAGGCCAAACCACAAGCAAACTATACTGGCCATCTGGCCAATGTAGTCCTTGAATGATATACGCAATGATAGCTGGTATTCGGCTTTCGGTTTCGACTGTGCCTTAATTAGTATTGTATAGACCGGGGTATTGGGGTTGGATGATGATGATGATGATGACTGGTGGTGCCTACCATTGTTAGGATAATCATAGTCCATGAAGATACCGTAATAATTTGTATGGCATAGGACACGTCGGCTGCATTGTTGAACACAATCGCCCGGTTCTCTGGAACGAGATTCCGTAACAAATTTCCCATAGTATTGGCCATACGTTAGGTTGGTGTTGGTGTCATCATACGGGTGTCCAATCTTTCGGATAATACATTTTTCTATACATTCCGGATGGGAACGGTATCCTGTCAGACATGATTGCGGCGGTGGCTGCCTGTCCTCCCTATAGCTATAACTAGTCTGACTATAGCTTAGTGTGCATACAGACCACTGTGTATTGGCTGTAAAACTAATCGGAAATACTTTACGTCCATAGAAACCGTATACCTGTTCCTCCGGTGAATGTATAGTAAACATAATACTACTATCCAATTGTTTTTTACTAACAGTTGTTCCAGTTAGTAACCGTCTACCTATGGGATCAGTTAGGTTCAATTGGCAGTCCAACATTAATTTCCAGTCACCGCTATCATTATCATCATCATCAGTCATCATCATCATTATCATAGTATTAATATCGTTATATCTGGCAACCATGGTCATACAATAGTGATGGTCAATAATTTTCGGATAATACCGTTGTTCAATAGTTACCGGTATACCGGTATGGTCTATATATGGGTGCCGTCCAAACTTGTTGTTGTTGTTGTTGGTGTTGTATTTGGTTTTGATGTAGTTGTCGATAGTTGTTAGCTGACATTGGATCAGTTTACTTGGTTTCCATAGACGAGCTAACTGTTCCCTATAGGTTAGACTATCCAGATAGTCGTACTGATTGGTAGTAGTATTAGCAGATGACTGGTCCAGTAGTTCATGGGTATAGTTAGCAGCCGTCGTCAAGTCGTAGTCAGGTTTGATAAGTGCCAGCTTATCCAGACATAGGGTAATACCGGGAAATCTAATAAACTGATAGCCGTATCGGATATCGGCTACAGTATTGTAGGACAGGTATCGATCACTTAACAGATACGAGTGATAGATATAGCCCGTCAAACATAACAATATTATTAACCCTAAAACTATTTGACTAAACATTTTGTTTTATTAGATACCGTTAAGTTGTTTTATGTTAATCAGTTATCTGTAATTTATAAATAAATATATACTGTATATAAATATATGCAAAATAAAACTGTTTTATTAACTTATTGCTAGAATATATATATACTGTATATACAGTATATTAAATAACATTAAATACAAAATGTAAAAATTTTTTAGGTAAACAAATTTATTACCAAAATATACTGCAATATTTTATTTATTATATAATTATAGTTTATTATTGTAAACAAAAATATTTGTGTTTATTAATATATATTCTATAGTATTATATATATATTTTATATTATTTTAGTGTTAATACTATTAAATGTTTTTATTTAATTTTATTTAATATGATAGATAAATTACTTTATATTATATTTAGAGTTTATACTGAAAGGTAAAAAACATAATTAACTTTTTATTATTAAAAAAATGTTTATTTGTAAAAATTTTGTTACTTCTAATACTAATGATAATAATACTAATGATGATGAAAATAATACTATAAATAATAA